AAAAAACACGGCATATATAGAGTTCAGAACCATTTGCAGTTTGTGGCATCCACCAGCGATATTGGATGTATTCCACACAGATAAATGTAGACCATTGCAATTGGAGGAAAAAAAAAAAAAAAGGTTGTCTTCCTTAGCACTCCTGAGCAATCCCATTTGGGCCAAGTACTAAGGAGTCAGCCTGAGTCAGTAGTTCCCAATCAGGGACCATTTTGCTGACCAGCAGACATGTGACAATGTGTAGGGATATTCTGGCTGTCACAAAAAAGGGGATATGCAACAGAGATGTAGTAGGTAGGGACCTACTGCCAAATATCCTACAATTCACAAGACACACCAGACCAGGCTAAGGCTCCAAGACTACAATAAATGGTGCCAGGGTTGAAAAACTCCACTAAATGAGCAGAGGTGAAGAGCAAGTGAGTTGTTAAAGGGCCCAGAGCAACAGGCCTACAAAAACACCATCCTCTTCACACACAGGAAAGAGGCTGAGAATGGAAAAGCACTACACTGACTTCCCTCCTTTCCACAGCAGTCCTGAAAACCTGCTCTACCTCAGACATCTGTGGATAAAGCCAGAGTGTGTTTTGGAAACGACCAAGAGAGGTCTTCACTCCTTCTCAAGCTGACAGCATGGCTCTGTGGTGCTCCCCAGACTGCATCCCGACAGGAACAGTGTAGCCCAGGCTAGCAAGAACTTTCTTTCAAACACTCCCCTTCCAGCCCAGTGCAAAAGGAACAGAAGGCTTAGCTCTTTAACTGTTTTAGAAGAAAAGAATGATGACACAGAATCTTGAGAAAGATAACTGAGTTAACCTGGCCCAGAATCTTCTCAGAAATTTCTTAGGAGACCAATATAACTTATACATATTTTCCCTAGGAAAAAGAAAATCACTCATAAATATTCACACTTAAAATCTGAGGTTAAATGATCTAACAATTCCTGATTAAGGAAAAATCCCATCCTCTGTGCAAAAGTTTATAGGGAGTACTCTGCTCCCTCTAGAACTGATGAAGCCAGAGCCCAAAACAG